TGCTCGGCAGAGTGATTATGAAATGTGTTTCTTATAAATCCAAAACATTTATGTCTTCAAATGCCCGGCCCCAATAATCCCACTAATTTCCTGAGTGCTTGTGAACTGTCCTCTATGGGGGGAGGCTTCTCTCGATCAAAGTTTATTAAGTAGAGGTTCTCATATGGAGACATTGCTGAGCGGTAGGAAATGATATGGGGCTTTTTCATTTCCCTTTAAATGAGCTCACTGGCCTGGTCTTGAACAATATGGGCATGGTCATCCTATGTTTCATGCTTCCTACATTTATTGCTGCTTTAGGTTTTCTGCTCTTTCTATGCCCAGTGCCTCCAACTATCACCGTTCTTTTTCCTGTCATCATTGCCATTTTCCGTTTATTAGTCAGTAGCTTTGTCCTGGTTCTTCTATTTCTTCCTGCCTCATTTTTGGTAGGGAGGAGTGACCTCAGACCTTCATTCAGTGACACCCAAAAAAAATGTCAGAACATGTTCCTGCTCCACAACAGTCCTGAGTAATCTCGAACCTGCCTGAGATAGGCTTTGGGAAGAAACCTCATCAGTGCTGTGTCCCGTAGAGCTTCCTTCCAGTGCCGTGCCGCAAGTCTGCAAGCAAAGCAGAAAGATATCTGTGCTGTGATGGGCCAAGAGCCACCGCTGCCCTGGAGTCAAACCAGGACGGTGAGTCACGTCTCCGAAACCACTTCCCCGGGTCCAGTGCCTGTAGCAGAGCATCACTGAACGTGGGGAAGTTTGGGTCTGGATTGTAACGCTGTTTGTTGTTTGGCTCCGTTTGGGGCATATCTCTCCGCAGTTCATTCAACTTCCTTATTTTGTTTTTCCGGATGTTTTTGTCGTAACATGGATTTCAACTGTCAATGTCTTGAGAATTTAAAGCTGGGCTGCTCATCCGTTTGCTCCCAATGAACGTTACTGCTGGGCCGTGCAAGAGACCTGTCTTTGCTGCCAAGGCCATCAGCAGCCGAAGGCCTCTTTCTTGCTTACACACTCATCAGTTTGCAATGGAAAATAAACCATCCAGCCTTTCCCTTGGGGGAATATCTACGACCATACTAAAAAAACCCATATAAAATTATGGCAATGAAATTTTAAACATGTTAGACATAAGATGATAAATGTTTTACTTTCCTTGGGCATTTTGGTGGCATATCTGAAGGCATGCGACTTTGTAAAACTGCTGCTTTCCACTGTGTCTGATCAGAGATGCCATCATCTTCTGGAGGTACTCAATATGCTTCACTGGTGAAGAGTGCAGTATATAAAGAGAAATCACCATTTAAAAATAACCCCACTCATGGAAGAGTCTTGGAAAGAAGATTTGTCTTCTCAGCACAACAGTAACCCAAAGCGCACAACAAAATGTGTATAAACCCAGACAATAAAAGCATCAAGTGTTTAGTGCCTTGGCACACTAACCCAACTGATTTGAATCCAGCAAGAAGAACTTGGAATTGATTATTTTTATGTATAGGCTTTTGTACATTTTCCACCCCTCATCGAGGTCTCTACTGAAGAGAGTAGGAACCCTGGGAACTTTTCATTGCAGCGAAAGAGGTCCCAAAAGAAGCCAGATTCCTGATGTACTTTAAGGACCCTGGATGAAGTTACATCTCACTAAATTTTACTTTTATCTAATTTTTTCCCCCAGTCTTCTGGCCCTGATTTTTCCATCACTGGACAGATGAGTCCGAAGAATGCAGAGAAGAAGTATCTGACCTTTTTTGAGCTTTTTAGCCTTTTTTGAAGGCTACCAAAGTCGTTGCTGGGCTTGTTACTGCCTGTGTAGCATGTGACATTGCAGTGATTTCTGGGAATTCTGCATATGTGCCCAGGGAACGTCTGGGATTGCAACAAGCAGCAACCACATCTGGAAGATCACAAGTAGAGATATCGCATATCTGGGAACCCCAGACAAGTGTTGGACTGCCTCTAAACTCATCTGGGCAAAATTCCTGCACAGTTGGAGAAATTTCCACATCCAGGAAAATCAGACATGTGGTAGGCTTCCCGCTCACCAGCAGAGCTCTGCTGGCCAAAGTCCTAGAAAGCACTGCTGGTGGAGCACAGAAATATCCTTTGCTGATAGAGCTTACTCCATCCGAGGAGGTGACTCAGGCTGCGAGATCCAAGCCACGTCTCTGCTGATGGTGTCGCCAGCACGGTTTGACCCATTTATTTGTGCCAGCGAAGCTTTTAACCGGCAGATGAGCGCTAACGACAGCGAGGGAGGCTCAAAGGAACATCTCCATGGTTTACTGCGAGTGGCAGCTGGTCTCGCTATCACTGACAAGAGCTGGAGATGCTGCCAAATCTTATTTTCTCCAGCGATGAAGAAGGAGCCGCACCCTGGCTGGAGGACCCAGGAGAACCTTCTGGAGTAGATGAACATCCCTGCTCAACGAGGCCAATGCATCATAAGGGGAAAAAAACAGCACAGGGAGTTTATTGGAGCCCATATCTGTGTTTGGACTCTGCCAACAAGGAGAGACAAGCTGAAGGAACCCAGAGAAAGTGGAGGCTCTGTCTGAACACAGCACAGTCTTCTGTGGGTCAGTTTTTGTGAGCAGCAGCGCCAGGACTGGCAAAGTCGTGGTTTGGTTTGGTTTTTTCCCCTCTCCCAGATGACTCTAACCCTATATCTGTACTTCATGATCATGCTGGCAGATTTTAGGAGCAGAGTGGAAATTCTGTTTCTCAGATGGGAAGATTTACGGCCTGAATCTGTCTTCTTGAAAAGCAAAGACTTTTCCCAGTGCAGGGTGGAAGCAAGTTTCAGTCATTGCTTCCATGGGAGATGTATCCAGGTGAGGGGAACCAGGCTGTACTTCAAACTCTTCTGGAGTAGCTGTGAGGTCCCTGTGACCTCTCCTGTGAACGGGGTCCATCTGCCCTGCACGGTGGTAAATGGGTACATCTCATCAGTCCCCTGGTGTCTGTGGTTTTTACACACAGTGCAACACATCCCGTAATGTGGAACTACTTGGGTTTAGCTTAAAGTGGCCTTTCTCCTATTTGCAAGAAATATCTATTGCTCATGCTTCCAGAAGATCTTAGTGCACAGCCCAGGGAGGCTGATGGAAAAACACTATGCAACTAATTAAAAATCTCACTTGTGTCTTTAATCATTCACATCTTGTTTTGACAGTAAACTTCTGTGAGTGATTCCACTGTTCACTCTCCAAATTTTCGAGCCATGAAGCATCATGGTATCACTGCAGAACAGGGTCTGCGAGCATTATTGCTGCTTTGCTACACACATCATGACCGATACGTGGGGAAGTTGAGGGACCTGGTAGCAGGTCCAGTGGTGGGCCAGCGGCAGAGCTGGATGGGGATGGCCATTGCCCAGGCTGCTGCTTTCACTGGTGAGGATTTCCCTGTATTCCTGTCAAAAGTGTCAGTCCACATGGGTGGACCCACCGCCTATTGCAGCTGCTCAGCGTCCATGGGAAATTAATTCCAAAAGTGATCTCTTGGAAAGTGGCAGCAAAAAATAGCAAACAAAGCCCCCGAGCAGTGTGGAAGAGGCAACAGAGCAGCACCTGTGTAGTCCTCGGCAGGGACCTGTCCCCTGTGAAGCTCTAATAAGTGTAGGTACAGCGGGCTCTTGAGATGTTTGTCTTGGGTAGAATGGAACTATTCCCACTGGGGAAGTGGAGAACCGGCACAGTTCTTTAGGGCTATGAGAATTCTGAATTGCTCCTTTGTGTTAAGAGCAGCCACCTATGAGGCCCACGTTTCAGATCAGAGTGAAAACCCTGATATGGTGAGCTTTGTAAGTTGCTTTTGTTCAGCTGAGACTGCAGCAGCAACGGTGGTGAAAATTACACCTTCTTACTGGGGAGCTGGGCGGTAGAGATGCTGTGCTGGTGCGTAGATGCTGTTGAAAAGTTTGTCGCAATTGCCAAAAAAGCCTGAATTATTTTCTGCAGTGATACTTATGCTTCTTTCTGTCACATCCAAAATATGTTGCCTGCTTTGCAGCCAATGGGGTCAAACACTGAAAAACTGAACTCCCTGGGCTCCCTGAGGAGTCTGTGCTGTTCTCAGCGGCTCGTCACTGCTGATCTCTGCTGCGTGTGTGCAAGGAGGGGCGCAGGTTCTGCTGCCCGTCAGGCACCTGCGCTCGCTGCCAGCATTGCTGTCTCTCACTGTGGTGGCTCCAACCTGAAGTTTGGCATCCCACTCCATTTCCAGTTGCCTGACCAGTTTATTGTGATTTCTGTGTGCTGTGCGTTGCAGTAATTATAATGCAAATAGAGGGAAGGTTTTTGTGCTGTGAGCAGAAAGCTGTGCCTGGCAGGTAGATAGAAAATGAAACCAGTGCTTGTTTTTACAGTGTGACAATAAGGAGAATTGGTGTTGAAGCAATGGCTCCGCTGCCATTATCCTATAACCATGTAAAAAGTATTGATATCCAGTTCAGTGCTTTAGTTGATGTTGAAAGATGCAACTCTGCAGACCAGGGGAAACATTTTGCTGGGGCCATGGTAAATGTGTTTTCCACATTTCAGCCCTTTCTGTAGCAGTGGCTGGTCGGTACCACTTTTCAGTTTAGCGAATGCTGTCTTCAAGGAGCACTGCTCCTGTTTTGCGTCCTTGAGGACAGACAGACACATCAGATGGTGGTTTTCCATCACCTGCCTCTTTGATGTGATCTGAAGATGAAAAATTTCACGTTTCAGCCACATTGCCCTGTAGTCACCTGGGCACAGAGACCTTTCCACCTCTAAGCAGTGAGGTTTCCTTCTCCTCTGTGCGCTGGAGCAGCTCAAGAACAAACTCAGCCATACCCCATCTGTAGTCCCCGTGAATCACGGCCTTACCTGTATCACTTCCCAGCCTTGTTGCTCCTGTGGGAGCAGGATAGGTTGGGTGAGGACGCTGTCAGGGTTGAGTGTACCAGGGAAGTACACTCAGGGTGGTTGGTTGGAATGGGACTTCTTTTCTTTCCCATTCCAACAGCTTTTTTTGCTCTCCTAGGGACCAGAAGGGAAACCAGGAAAACAGGGAGAAAAGGGCAAGCCTGGCCAGAAGGTAGGAACCTCTCCCATTGGTAACATCTCCTCCTCTGGATCTCTCTTCCTTTGCTCGTCTTTAATGTTCATCTGTAGAAGCAATTTCACCCTGTGTTAATGACGGTGCTTTTGTTCTGCAGGGCAGCAAGGGCTACCAGGGACAGCTGGGTGAGACAGGAGCTCCAGGGAAGCAGGGGCCGAAGGGGAACCAAGGCCCTAAAGGATCCCGAGGTACCCTGGGACCTATGGTGAGAAGAGCTCTGCAAATGGTTGAACACAACATGCAGAAACGTGGCTAGCAGTGGTGGGCACAGGCCTGAATGAAGCAGGGAACCCAACAGAGGCTTGAGAGCACAGAAAGTGAAATTGTTCAGTGGCCTTAATTGAGCACAACAGCTTAACACTCGCGTTGAGCAGTACAGGAGAGGCTCCACAATGATGGCTGCACTGGTGTCCTGTGAACCCAGCTCACGTTGCATCGCATTGGCTCTTCCCAACTCTGCAGATGGGCTGAAGTATTGGGGATTTTTCTTGAGAAGGGAGTGAACTGATAAGCTATTTTTTGCTAAGATCTTTCCCTTTGAGACTGCACATTCATGGCAAGAGCTGCTTCCAAGTCAAACTGTGTTGTTGTAAGGATCTGTCTTGGACTTCTGCCCTGTTTCTACACCCACTCTTGATGTACTTATCTAAAACACTTGCAGCAGGAAGAGATATAGCATGGGAAAGGGTTTGAGTTGGGGATTGAAGGCAAGGCTTTCAGAGAGAACTGCAATAGTATGGCAGAGAAGGAAGAAAGTTAATTTACTTTAGGAACATGAGACAAATGCACTGAGACAGCAGCAGTAATAACTACCTCCTCATGCATTGCAGACTGGTAAGGAAACTTCTTGCACGATATTGGGTAGAACTTAGTGAAAAAGCAGGAGTTATTTATGAACCGTGAATTGCAGCAATGTTTCAGAACAGTAGCAAATCAGTGATGGAGTAATAGTTCAATTGATAGTGTTTTCCTGCACTAAAAATTATGGCCTCCCCTTATATCCTCCCTTCATATTCTTTGGCAAAGCCTCCATGGGTTATTTCACAAGGAAGCAAAGCAATATCTGAGCAGCAGAATATTGGACTGAACACGTCTCTGCAGTCTGTCTTGTGGAAAGGGCTTTCTTCCACTCTAAATGGGATTATGTGGAAAGTTTGCAATTCACTTTAATCTGATGATGTGATTTAAACCCTTTTGTTCAGTCTGCTAAAGATGCAATAAACAGCTCTTGCAGTGCCCTCATCACAACCCAGAAAACTTCTTTCTTGGCCTCAGGACCCACGCTGAAAGGCTTCCTCCCAACAGTTTAGGATTAGGTCGTGCATGAGAATGGTCTCACTGGTGGACTGCCTAGCACAGAGCTCACTTGTATGTAAAGACATCCAGAAGGGCGGATGAAGAGCACACACTGCGCAGCCATTTCTGGTAGCAAATCTGAATGATGTGGAGAACGTATTGCTATGGGGTGGCAAAGGCACAAACTGTGCTCCTAGCATCACTTTCCATGTGTACGGGATTAAAGTCAAGCAAGAGCATTTCAGATGGCTGCAGCAAAGCTCACTGGTGGCCGAGAATGGGTGGCCACAGTCCCATGTGGTGCCAAGCTTTGCTTTGCATAGCCCAGTGCATCCTCTTCTTGTGGGGTAATACTGGCTGCTTTCATGGTGCTTTCTGTGTTTGCCTCTGCAGGGTGCTCCAGGAAGGATGGGTGCTCAAGGGGAACCTGGCCTAAAGGGTTACCAGGTAAGGTTTTTATTTTCACTCTTCAGCTTCTCTCTGTTCTCAAATGTAGCAAAACTGCCACTCCAGGATGCAAAAATTGTTCTTAAACTATGATTTCTTTCTGATCTGGAGTTCAGTTAGTTATTTCTCTAGTCTCAATTTGCACCGAGATGACTTCTCCAGATCTATTTGGTTCATCTCTTCCATGACCTGTGTGTTCCTCTGAAGCTGGGATGCACAACACAGGGCTGGCGAGACCTGGCAGTAAACCAGGGAGGACCTTGAGTCGAGCAGCTCTTTCCTGTCTCTTCACAAGCTGTCTGCTCTCCACAGGGACATGCAGGACCACCAGGGCCAGTTGGACCACCAGGGCCAAAGGGGGAAAAGGTAAGTTCACAGAGTTTAGCCAACTTGTCTTCTGTTGGCATTGGCTACCAGCACCAGCTTTCCAGGCACCACGTGCCTTTGTGCTGGTGGCTGAGCCAGCCACCGTGTGTTCTGGGGACTTATTTTCCCAGCATCCACAGAAATTCTGCTCAATCCCCAAGCCAAAAGGCATCAGACTTGTAGCTTTCTGTGATCAACTCAGAATAACACCCTGCAATGACTAGCTGATCTTCAGCAAGCTGCCCCTCTGTGCTTAAATCAGCCATCAGCGTGTTGTGAGCGAGGCAGAACCGGTCTCTCCATCGCCCTTGCTCCGTTCTCCTCATTGTCTGCTACCCCCTTACCTCGCTCATCGCCCACACCCCTCGACAAGCCCCCTTGCCGCAGCTGGCCTGAGTCAGAGCCCTCTTTCCACAGCAGCTTTCCCCTTGTGTTGTTCCCCTTTTGCTGAGTCAGCACGGCCGTAACCAGTTCAGGCTGGAGAAGTGACTCATGCCTTAATGGTTTCCTGTCGGCGGAGCTGGCGGCTCCGCACTCCAGGGACGGCCCAGCTGGCGTTGGCTGCACTCGCAGTGCGATGGAGCCCCTCACGTGCCTCCGGTAGCAATGCTCCCTCCCCCGGTGTGGGAAGGGAAGGGGTGGTAATTGGGACTGGTCAGTCATGGGGTCCCCATGAAGAGGAAAGGTGGATGATCACTGATTATCCACCTCCCCATCGCTGAGGGAGCTTCCAGTTCTCTGCACACAGGTGTGATTGCCTCTGTACATGTCCAGGCAGGAGCTTCAGTGCTTATAAGAGGAGTTTGTGGGATGGAGATCCCAAGGGCAGGTCTTTGCTGGGAATTTGAATGTGTCCTTTCAGCTCAGGCCCCTTGGTGTCAGAACTCTGCGCTCTGGTGCAGCAGTGAATCTCCGTGCTGGTGGCCAGCAGTCAGCAGGGCAGGGTGAGCTGTTGTGTTCCACCAAGATATTCACGTGCTTCATAAATTTCACTGGTCATGCTGCTTTTTCTCTCATTTCCTGCTGCTGAAACACGTTCATGGTGCAGGAACAACTGGTGATGTTCCTGCTGCTCCACATCTCCATCACTGCCTCATTGAATTTCCTCTCGACCCCCAGCCTTTCTAACACTTTGCTTCCAAAGCTGCTCTTCCAGACCTCAGCAACATTCAGGTGTATTCTGAGTGGCTGTGCAGGAAGTGGCAAGTGTTAACCAAGCACAACCAGCCCAGGGTAATGATGTGAGAGCTCATGACCAAGCACACTGTCAACTGAGAGCCTGGCCAGGGGTTTCTCACAGTCCCACTGTAGAAACTTGAGCATCCTGGCAAAAAATTGCAAGTCATGACTGCCAAAAGTGAAATCAGCCATTGGTGTTGCAGCAGATGGAGGAAGAGATGTGCAGATATGTAACTCAATTGTTTAAATCGCAGCTGTTGTTTTATTTTAAAACACTAAAAGTTGCCATCTTCTTGTAAACTCCCATCATTTCAGTAGTAAATGGTTCCCAAGTTATTAATCTGAAGTGTTCAGTGAAGCACTCTTCACTTCACCAACGCAATATTCTTCTGCAAACAGACACTGAAAGAGCAGTCCCTCGGAGGTAACATGGATCTTGTGTTATCAGCGCACAGCGACACTGAAGATAAAATGAATTCTACATGCAGGTAGCCAAGCTGAAGCCTGAGAAAGACACTGAAGCATCTAATGCACCCTGGTGAGAGCAGACAGATCTGTTCATGACCACTGACAGCCGGATCTCACTCACATCTTCCTGGAAGTTCAGCGGCCCTGCTGGCTTCTTGCTGGGGAGCAGCTCCAGCTGAACCAGGAGAGCACAGCATCACATGCTGCGCCTCCAGCTCCATTTCCTGCAGCATCCAAGTGCTCCACAAAAGTCTTGCATCTAAGTTTTCTTACCCGTCCTTCCTTCTTATCTCCAAAGAGTTGACTGGATCCCAGCCTAAGGACAGACAGATTCATGCCCTCTGGACATCTGTAACCTCACATGTGCATGCGAAGGTGAAAGTGGAAGCCTGAATCTGAGAAATGAAGAGGAATCAAAAAGGGGACTGTGACTACAGAGAGCTTTATACAGTGTGGTAAACTTAGCTGTGCTGAAAAAGGAGGATATTTAATGGTGGGGAAGGTCTTTCCTTTCCCAGAAAAGAAAGCGGCTTGGTGAGAGGCATTACTGTGGAATCCAGCTCCCTTGTGCCATACCAGCCAGCTACTCCGCCACATTTAATACGTTTACAGCTCCTCAAAGAGGCCTTGCTCAGAGCAGACGCCTGCACTTGGCAGCTGCTTAAAGCAGTCCAGATGGGATCCTTTTAAAAATTACAAACTGGTGTATCTCACTTTGGGACAGGAGCCAACAACAACAAGCCTTCCCTTCTTCTCCATGCATTTTCCATTTGTATCCCAACATGTTTACTTTGCTGCCCTTTACTCTAACTTTTTTTCACTGCAACTTTCCGAAGAATTAGCGCAGACCTTTCATCTCCCTCTTGAGCAGCTGAGGCATCAGGAAGTCCTGGAGGAGCTCAGTCTCGCAGTCCTAGAGCTGACCAGTCCTGCAGGATTTTCTCAGTCAGAAGACAAAGGACAAGGTGAGAATTAGGCTCACAGGGACACAAAGCCACCCCTCAGCTCTGGGGAGAAAGTCTGTGGGTCTTGATGCTCTTCAAGGGTCCCCAGAATTATGAGCTTTCCTTGAGTTCATCACGCTCGCCTCAGCTCCCAAATGGCAAGGTGTTCACATCCTGTTTGAGCAGAAGCAATCGGTGCCAAGACTTCTGCATAGTAACACGTATACTGGGATTTTTTTTTTCTGGGACTTGAGAAATGGTGGCTCTGTTTCCCTTCTATCCTACCTTCCTTTGATATTGGCTAGAAAGCAAACCAGTTATTCTTCTGCTGACTTCAACCAGCAAATTCAGTAGCACTGGAAACTGTTGGCAGAGCCTGTTAGACATTACTTTCTCTCTGCCACCCAAATTTCTCCATCCGTCTTCCTCAGTACTTTATTCTCAAGCCATCCTGGCACAGTTTCTCCCTATATATTTCTTCTACCACAGTACCTCCTCAAAACCCCAGACAAGTACCCTGGAGTTCACCACCCAGCACACAACCTCTTAAGGACAGCATGACCGTAACCTGTGAGTACTTGTGAAGACCTGGCAGCGTTCATCCAACACATGGCACAGCAGCTGAGGCAGAAATTGCCACCGTTATCAATCATGTAATGGAGAGAGATGCACTGAGCTCTTTGCTATCTGTTGAGGTTAACTGCAAGTGATTTTGCCAAATCCTGAGCCTTATTCTGCCAACTTGTAAATGTCAATACTGGTGCTGAGCCCATGAGAATTCAGTGTGGGTCAGCGTGTCTCTCTCAAAAGTGACACAGCCCTGATTCCAAGCCATGACCTGGTTCCTACAGAAATGAAGCTATTGGCTCCACCATCATAGAGCTTTTTTCACTGAGCGTTATTCACTGCTCCAGATGTGTTGTTACCAAACAACACGTACAAGCAAAGCACCCCAAATGCCTTCTATCAGCAGGATCACTGAGTAATTGCCCAAGCACTGTTACCATCAGCAGCTGTTTCTCAAAGAGAAGATGAGAGTAGCCCAGAAAGAAAGTCAAAGACATTCATAAATACACCAGAAAGGGCTGATGCAGCCACTGAGAACTGCAGAAGTCTGTGGAAAACTTGGCTCTCTGTAGCTATGGAGATTTGGATGCTTGAGGCTCTAGGAGCACCCCAGGCAGTCCAAACACAGCAGCTCCACTGTGCCAGAACCCTCCCAGACCTCCTCTCTCCAGTAGCTGCAATAGCAAAGAAGCTCCGAGACACGTCCATCCTAAGGAGCCAGAGTGCCAGAGACTCAGTGATGTGAAGTAGCCAAAAACTGGAGGAGCTGGAATGTAGCTGTCTTCCATGGGGAGTAAAGAAACAGCCATCTCTGAGCTAGACTCCAGAGAAAATAGGACACCATGACCCCGACTGACTTATACAACGGAATTGAAAAAGATAGTGTCTGCGTTAAGTCTTGAGGGATCTCTCTGTGGATGTTTTAGGGAGTTATAAATAATCCGGGTGATGTTATCTACCAGCCAAACCATAAGCTCTGAGCTCTTTCTGAGGAGCATCCCATCAACCAGTGGAGCTGCTCACACAGCGAGCGTGCAAGGGGCTGACCCCCTCACCTGATCAACTGAGAACCAAGCCCACAATGGTGGCACTCAACCAGGGAGCCCATCCACACCACCCTTGCTTCCTTGACAGCCCAGGCAGCACTCAAGGAGGGTGGGGAAATGGTTGATTAAAGAGTTTGGCTTGACTGTTGGCAATGAAATGCAGAGGCAGGGAACTATTTCCCATAATGTCGTAATTACGTGCTTCTTGCTTAGTTTTAGGAATTGTTGAAAATAACTCTTTGCACCTGGTTCCTTAGGGAGGATGGTTACGCCAGGCAGAAACAACCACCACAGAAACCAGGAAAGCAATGTGATGAGTCAGTGCACCGCAGGTTGTGAAACAAACAAACAAACATAAAATCATTTAGGCTTTTCTTTGGATGAAAAATCAGTAAATTCAATAGAGTCTTTGACTTAGGAGCCCATGATATGGGAGGACTGGATCAGGTCTTTACAGAAACATTTGCCATATAATCTGCTGTCTATATTAATACCAGTACTTTTATTCACAGGGAGAACAAGGTGATGATGGGAAGGTAGAAGGCCCACAGGGACCGCCTGGAGACAGAGTAAGATGTTAAATCCCTTCTCTTATCTATCTTGGCCTGATTTTTGCAGCTGGACTGATTGGGTTGCTTCCTTGCTTGTAGAACATGCACAAGTCATCGAGATTCTGTGGATGACAGGTTGTTTACATCCATGTTAAGTCTTTGTTGTGTTGTTGTAGGGCCCCGTTGGTGACAGAGGAGATCGAGGGGAGCCTGGAGACCCTGGTTATCCTGTGAGTCTTATTTCCAATATTATTCAGAAATGTTTGTCTTGGGGAAACACTTCCAGCCTGCATCAGCCTACAGAAAGACTACGCTTTGCCCAGTAGCCATGACTCATAACCTGCTGTTTTGCCTTGTCAACCGCTGTACATGGCTGTGTTTGAAATGAGGAGCAATTCCTTACCTTTAGCTGAAGAGGTATAAATTTAGATGAAGGTAGATGTAGGTCCCGCAGGTCAGCATCTCACAATGGTGTGCACTTGCCTGAGCACATGGGACTGAAAGAATGAGCAGGACCACATAATTAGAGGTATTTATGATTATCCAGGAAATACCTTGGGTAAGATGTGTGCAAGAGAGGTCATGTTAATGCTGGACAAAATTCAAGACTGATGTGGCCATGGCTGTAGGCTCTTTCAAGGGAAGATCTCTATTAACTTACAGGTTTGAAAGCTTCCAAAATCTTAGCGAGATTTCTCTCAAAAGCAAGACCAGGGTTATGAATGATTCCCCTGTGCTCCTGATGCCCTCTTTGCAGGACATCTCCAGCTCATTGGTGTTGATCTGCAGAGGCTTTAAGGACTAAATCTTGCCTCCATCCAAAAGCAGCTCATCAGAGCAACCCATTACAGTAATGTACAGAGGTTAAATTCACCAGGGTAGTAGTGCTGCTGCCTATTTTGTAGGACAGCAGTCTCCAACTGTTCACTTAAATTAATGCTGTGTGTATTCAGGGGTGCATTAGAAGGCCTTCTATCCTGTTTAGATGGTGATTAGCAGTTCCTCTTAGCTACTTCTTTCCAATGCGTATCCACAGGAGTACACACGCTACCTGTAAGCTTCAACATTTCTGTACTAGCAGAATGCAGATACATATAGCTTCTCCTGCCCCATACATGTTACGTACGTTTTTGTTTCCCATTGCCACAAAAGTACCCAAGAACAAACATATGTTCCCTCTCTGTTTTTTATTTAAGGGTCAAGAAGGGTTTGATGGAGAAAGAGGAAAACCTGGACAGCAAGGCTTACCTGTAAGAGACGCTGCTTTATTGTAAGCTACCCAATGTCACACGTGTGTGAAAAACAGATGTAAAAAGGAAGGAAGGTAGGAAGGGCGGCAGTAAGGGATGTGTGGTGAGCTGTGAAGTGCAATGTGTGCATTTCCATACGCCGGGCTGATAGAATGGGCATTTTGAGTCACATGTGAGACCAATAAGTGGTTGACAGATCAGGGGGCGCTCCCAGAAGCCTGTCTCCAGAACTGTTTTTTCTGAAGGATCCAGGTGGAAATAGGAGATGGGCAGCAGGATATGGCAGTGACAGTGGACGAGTCTGCTTGGATATGATATATTTGTCGTGCTGCTGCTGAGAGCTGGTCCAGTGTGAGGCAAGACCATGTTACTCTGCCAGCATGGTATTTCCTCTCAAGCCAGTGCATTTATGAAAGACTAAACTAATTGGACTGAATTTAAGGGAAGGAGTTTTTATTCCCTTGCTATGTACGGCAGTGTCTAATTTAGGTATGTGACTATTGCAACTGTGAGTGCAGCAGCACATTAAATGTAGTTTGTATTGGGAAATAAAGTTGAGTCATTTCCCATTCTTTGTAGGGCTGTTGGGAAGAACAACAGAGTCTATTTTGGGATAAACTCTTAGTGCTATGTCATACGGCCTAGAAACGGGTAAAGCGGCTGCATTTCCCTGTGGATGTAGCTTATTCTAAGGAGCGGTGTCTCCTCAGAGATCAGTGTTTCAGATCGTAGCAGGAGCTTTGGGCTGTCTTTGGTAAAGAGCAATTAGAAATAAGTGGCTCAGAAGCAAGCTGAAGGAGGAGAGCTCTGCAGGTGTGTCCTTACCACTTGTTTGGTATTAGTCCAGAAATTGGTCGCCACAAATACAAACACCACCCAAGTGAGGGGGTAGCATTGCTGCTTCTCCCATTGACACCCTGTTAAATGCTCACCAGAGACAGTTCCTTGCCCCTTTTTTCCCCAGGAGGCCTGTATGAGCACAGCCTCTTCCCTTGAATTGTTTCCATACGGTCAGCATTGTTAGGGCACAAAACAAAATGCTGCTCTGGGTACTTTATGCGAGACACTGCCAGAAGAGAATTTCAAGCAGATTTTTCTCACTTGTGTTTTGTAGGGGGATCCTGGACCACCAGGCCAGCCAGGAGCAAAGGGATCCAAAGGTGATGTGGTAGGTTTCAGCAGGGTGGATTTATGGTGTCCCAAGTTTAAGGAAAATGTCTAATTAAGAGGACTCTCATGTTTTTCCCCTCCATGTGTGATTTGGCCTATGGTCTATGCCATGAAAGACTGCGTTGAACCTAGTGGGAGGGCTGTACACATGTATTTGAGTGTCCCAGCCCAGTAGTTTGTTGGTTTTGTGGAGCTGGGGAAGATCAAGACAATTACAGCCCCAGCACGATGGGTGACTCTTGGGCAGGTCTTTAGTCATGGCCATGGGTTGCGTCTCTTTCCCACACCCCTGTTTGTGGTGCCTCCAGCCACAGCTGGCTCGTCTGTCCCTCAGGAGGTCTGAGCCAGGCAAGTGTCTCTCTCTTTCACTTGAACCATAAACTTCTCTGGCTTGAAACTCTTTCCAGATTTGGAGTGCACTTATCCACGCAGTTTTGTTTCTTATAAGAGTCCCTCTAACTTCCTTATTGAGCAAGTAAATACAGCACACATGGGTCCTTCGAGGTTCATTGGGGTACATCATATGTACTCCTACCTCCACATCTGGCCATAATGACAACTTGCTAATTATTCTCACAGATCAGGGACTTTATTTGCTAAAACATAAGTATGTGACCTCAATACTCAGCAAATTCCTGCTTCCTTTTGGCAGATGTCAGGATTTTTAATCTGAGGTTGCTGGGGTAATGCCAGATGATAGTTTAACCTACAGTAGGTGTTCTTGGCAAAAAGCGTACCGGGCGATAAGATAAATAAAGTCTACCCATCGATGGACAATCTGGAACTGCCTTTGAGTCTAATGAATAGCAGAGAAAGCACCCCCAGGAGTCTGTCTTTCATGTAGCTGGCCTGCGTGGTCTTCTGCAGATGGAGAAACAATGCACAGAAAATGCAGTGGTTCCATTTAAAAGTGCTTTAGTACATGACCTCACTAAGAGAGCCCTAGTGAAGGTGATGAGGCTGAGTTTTCCATTCTTTCTGCAGAAATTAATCCTTTTTACAGCTAATAAACCCCAGGAGTATTTCTTTTATGTCTTTATTCACAAAGCAGCATTGCACATTTTAGGCACAAGATGCTCTTTTCATTTCCATTAACTTTCCAAAATAGAGCCAGCTACCTTGCAGAGAAAAGCTCTTACTGAACGCCCTGCAGAAGACTTGCTGGGTCCTGGTTCTGCGCTGGGCTGCCCATGAACTGACAGAGGACGCAGGTTTTAAGCATCTTGTTCTAATGTTTGCCAGTGCACTGAGTTCTCCCTCGAGTTCATCCTGCTTTATTTGTCCTCATCTGCTCTGTATTAGGAAAAATGTAGGTCCTTGCCTTCTAGCTATTCATTCCTGCCCTAGAACTCTCAAGACGTACGAAGAATCACTTGTAATAAAACCAAATAGCAGTTCATTCCCCAGCGTTGGAGCAACTGACTTTATAAATCTCCTTTTTATAAAACTCTTTCCAACCATTATCCAAAAGCACACCCTGAAGTCAGGCTCCCAAGTGGAGTTGTGCTAGGACTGCTGCAATTTTAGATGTCTTTCTTTTTTCACTTGCAGGGTCAAAAAGGAAAGCAAGGAGCCCGGGGCAATCCAGGGAGCAGAGGCTCACCGGTAGGTAAAAATCCCATTTTCTGCCCCAGCAAATGCTGGGGAGCTCCATCTGGGAGCTCTGTCACTGACACCTTTGTGATTTTAGGGCATCCTTGGGCTACCAGGTCCTCGAGGAGTGGTGGGAAGGCAGGGTCAAGAGGGTGCCCCCGGTGTGGACGGAGTGCCTGGGAAGGATGGTGTGCCTGGGATGCTGGTGAGTTTGCAATCGTAACCTTATAGCATCAATAGCAAACACAACTTAGGAGCTGGAAAACTAAATGGTAACATGGGAGAAATGGATGTAATGCAGCTATAGATATTCCAGTTCACATTTACATATTACACTTACATTTACGAGTTTGGAAGTGAACTGGTGTTTCTGGCCTGACAAACAGATAGTTGCATGCACAAACCTCTATACGCTTCTCTGCGAATCCACCCGTGCCCAGATGCCTGGTGCTGCTGAGGGCAGAACCCCAACGCTCCCCTGTCACCCCAAAGCTGTGCAGAGGTGGAACAAATGTCCTGTTTCATAACCTCTTCTGGGTTTCTTTTCTAGGGGGAGCAGGGTGATGATGGGGAAGAAGGTGTGACAGGGATGTCGGGCAAAAGAGGCAACCCTGGTATACCAGGACTCCCCGGGGCACAGGGACCACCAGGATTCAAGGTGAGTTTCTGACTCCCAAAGATACAGCTACAGCAATCCAGTCCATGAGCCTGGTGTCTTTAGAGATTGGATTCTCCAGGGCCTAATGAAATCTAGATTCCTGCT